AGTTTTAGATTGAATATTTTAAAGGGGAGAAAATGTCGCGCGACATATTAATTTGCATGTGATCGTGTGCATCCGATCAAATCTATTCGCATGGATGAATCACTTCGTCGCATAATAAATAAATGTAGAATTGAACGAACACGCGTCATCATTATCAATAAATCACTGCTTTGTGCGCTATCGAAACTCTTGAGGGAATGCGAGGATGAAATCTAAACATTTCGCTCTTTAATCCCGTAAGAAATTTTATAATACATATATATCATATATATCAAAAATTAAAATATTGTAGAATATAAAAGAATTTCGCAGAAATGTATGCTTAGGAGATTCCGCAAAATTTTGATCTACTTTTATGTCGCCTAGATTATACCGACTTCTACGAGAATATATTCCAAGTGTTCTAACTCGGTGAACTCATATAAAGCACTAAAGCGCGCTCGTACGGATGAGCTGGCATAATAATATGCAGATTAATCGCAGCTCTTTGACGCGTGAATGTAATTCGCAAAGCGAATTCAGGCTCTCGCCTGAGTGACGATATCGTTGACTCATAAACGACGAGGTACATCTCGTCCCGACCCTGAATGAAAGCTCACCCATTCGCATAAATATCCGTATCCGTCGAGGGTGCGATCGTTGGGGTGTATAGGAGAATAAAAACAAGGGAGAGAAGTGATATACAACAAAAACAAATCCACGCGATCGTAGAAACGCGAAAAGTTTAAGGGCGTCCCCCGATGTCCAATACATCTTAATATATAATGTAATGGATTTAAAACGGTGATGTACAGTCCTCGTTCATCAAGTATATCTGATTAACGACTTATCATTATTTTTTAAACAACAATTTGTATTTTTGCTCGCGAAAGTAACGAACGATGTGTACCTATATATTTTAGGATACTCTCGCCAAGATAGCCTCTGCGAACGAAACGGAGAGATAGAAGCACGCGAATCGAATGTCGCTTTATTAGTGCAACCGTGGAAAGTTCCAAGTCGCAACATGAACCAGCGCCGCAGGAGAACTTTTTAATGCGTAAACTCATCTTAATTGAATTTCGTTACTTTCATTTTACAGTGGACGCAAGTCCATCTCTAGTTCTAGTTCATCTTCTATTCAAGTTCGCGAACTCGTAAAAACAAAAAGTCCTCGCGTTTTTCGTCTTTTTTTCTTGTTTTTTAATGTACATAATAACTGAAATTAAATGTGGCTGTTATATCTGCTTTGCGACAAAGATACAATACAGTGTGCAATTAGAACTTGACGTTTAAACTAGAGAAAGCGATATTTCCAAAACGAGAAATGAGGCTTTAAAAAATGACGAAGCGTAAATAATGATGCCACGTTGCGAGAATGAGTCTCGTAAAAATATTACAGCACCCGGAAATAATACAAAAGCCATTAATTTCATCAATTGAAATAATTAAATTTCGAGTTGAAATAATCATTATTCTCTTTGTATTATATCTACGTGCATTATGATAAATGCACAATGTAACAACGAAAATACAAACAGGATATTTAACTTTACGTTAATTATTTCTCTGTAACGAAAATAATAAGCACGGTTTTAAAAGAATATATATAGCCGATGTATAGCACAACGACTGATGTATGTCGTGAGATAAAATGCCTCGAGGGCAACGTGAACATGAATTAAGACATGGAACATAAAATTAAGATTCATTTCGCATTAATTTATTGTATCCGTAATTTTAACACGAGGACGTAAATCTTCGCCAATAACTGAATTTTCACAAGTCGTCTCTAGTTTTGAAAAATGTTTGAACGAGCACGAAGATTATTCTCGATAATTATGCTTGAATCTACTAAATGCAAACAATTTTGAAAAGTAGAACACGGAAAATAATGCATATAGCGTTTATTTCGAAAGCACGTGAGACGACACGTGAGATGATGACAAATACCGCTGCAAAATTATCCTCAGAACGCGTGATATTTCGAAAGCATGTAACGCGATAAAATAATACCAGAAAAAGAAAATAGAAAATCTATTTTAGCGTACAATTTAATCTAATTTCCGCGACGAGTCGCGATAGTTTCTCAACATTTCCGATTCAGCGCGATTATATTTCATGGAAACATCCGGAATCGTCTTTCCCTCGTTTAACCTATCGCGACTATTTTTATTCATCGTAAAAAATAGCAAATTTACAAATGCAAATATTTGCATGTATTAATAACACATAATATAATATATATATATATATACTGCTATGCGTTCGGCGCGCTCGGTAAACATCCCTTTTATATCCTGATAGTTTTGTCAACAAATTTGATAGATGCAAGTCGAGTGAGCGTATTTTTAAACGTGCAAATTTTTTAAATAGTTTGTTCATCTTGACACGAGTCTTTTGATTTAATTTAAGAAATCAAAAAGTCTCTAAATATCAAAAAGTCTCTGTAAAGACACTTAAAAGATGTCTTAACCGTTCAAATCTCCTTCAAATGGTTTTTAGTTCCTTGTGGCAGGTTCTAAGATGCCGTGTATCTAAAGTGACTTTAAAAACCTCGAGTTTTTCGCGATTCGAGGTCCCTCGAGTGGCTGATATTATACAATACTTGATAAAACTCTTGTGTCTACCAAGACAATCGACATGCGAAACAGGACGTCTCGATTACCAAGCTGGAAATCTTTTTCTATCTGAGGAACTGTTTTTGTCATGTCTCTCTCTCTCTCTCTCTCTCTCTCTCCTTTTGTCTATTATCCCCGACCAATCCCGTCACTCTCTCGGGCTCGCCTCGACGAACCAACTCGCATTAATTGCCGGGAGTCACGACATGTCTCCATTACTCAAGAGCTTCGTTAAAGGGAGGCGAAAGGGATAAGAGAGCGCCGCGAGGATAAGGGACGAGGGAGATAAAGGAGGTCGCAGCCATGTTTCACCATTATTTTTCACAAATTGGGCCCGCGTCGCCGTTATCCTTAACGAGAATTGAACGACGGGCCCCCGTTGTACAAGGAATGAAAAAAAAAGGATTTCCGTATTTTTCGCGCCTTCGTAAAAAAATTTCGTTTGCCTTATTATGAGATATTTCTGTTATTTCTCCATAAATAATTCCGAATCGCGTCGCGTCTCATCGAGTTTTCAATTTTAAGATCTAAATTTATATCGCGCACGGGAAGACGCGATATCGATTATCGTGAAATATAGAAGCGTCGTGAATGAACCGCATCCTCGTACATATAGCTTCCATTAATTAATCAGAAATTTCCTGCCGACACCACCGACCGACCAATACAACTAATAGACCTTGCTCCCCGAATCTCCCTGCCAATTATCCCGCCGTGTACTAATTAGCATATATGGCCGCGGTAACAAAGTTTCCCGCCTCCGACAATGTCGTCCGCGAAACTTACAGCTTTAATAACTCGTGAACTAGTGAACTCGTGATTTTACAATCGAAACGTAATTCCAAAGCCTTCCCAAAAGTTGTTTGTGATTTGTAGAGCGGAATTAACATTAAAAAATCGAGGCAAAATCGGTAATTTTATTACTTTTAATCTGAAAATAAAAATGTTGTAGACGAGTTTGATGACACTAAAAAAAAAAAAAATACATTTAACGCTGGATGTAGGACATGACCGCGCATTGAAACGGGAAAATATAAAATGCAAAAGTACTCTATTAACTTCGACAAAGTCGAAGGACTCAAACAACTGTCTGTGTGTTAGAGCGAGCGAGTATTGTCGCGGCGGAAAAATCACCGGCAAGGTACACCTCCTGCGTACGGAAACTTTAGCAGTTTATTATAGCCGAGCGCCGACATAGTTCTCCCTCGTAGCGGAGTTTCAAGCAATGAGACGAAATAATCGCGTTTTTACGATAGTCGTGCCGAGTTTTACGAGAATCGGAAGCCTCGGCGACGCTTTTGTGCGGTAAAACTTGTTCGAATGCCACACGCGTCATAAAATCGACAAAGCGAACCATAGCAGCGCGGCGCGGGTTTTATCATATATATACTACTGGCCGACATACTTTCCGCGTCTAATGCGAATGAATTCGTTTTTGTACGTTCCAGAGTCCGTAGAATCGTTCGGATGCATAAATGTCGTGCACAAATGTCGCGAGTGTTGAATTAAAAAAATTTCATTAAAATATTTTATGCTCTCTTATTACGACAACGTTGCGATATAATAATAATTGTAATAATATAATAATTACAATATAAAATCACAAAAGCAGTAATTATGCAGCGATTAATAACTACGTTTAAAAAGCAAAAATCAAAAAATGTAACACGAAATGTTTAAAATCGCGCAGTGAAAAATATTCAACGTTTTAAAGTGTCTAATATCTTTCAGTGGTATGTTTTTTCCCCAACTCCCAAGCGACGCGACAGTGGACGGAAAAGGGAGAAAAGCTCTACAACAGGAAGGGTGAACTCGTAATACCCGTCGGTAGATCGGACTTTATATCCGGCTAATTAAGCATTGATAGCTAACGAGGTTCCTTTGTGCCGCCGCCGCCACCGCCGCGAGCGGATGAAAGTCCACGGAAAATTTCAACCGACACGTCGGATTAAATGCTTTAACTCGCGCGTAGTAGCGTCGAACCCGTGTTTGCCCGAATTCGAGATGCAAACTGCGAGAACTTTAATCCCCGCTGATGCGAATTACTCGAGACATGTTCCCGTCGTAGGGAGATGGAGGGATTCCCTTTTTTTCTCTTGACGAAGAAGAAGCGTTCGAGCCGACGTCAGAATCGATCCGGCCTCGTTTCCTGCTTTATTATACGGGGACGATGATTAATTTAACGACCTCCTGTAAGCCGGTCCTCTTTTGAGCGCCGCGAGCGATTGTTTGATTTTGTTCGGGGAGCGCCATGTGGGGTCGCATAGAATATAATGTGGCATTTCTTTTTTCCTCCTTTTTTTGTATGCATCGCGCGTCCGTTAATTATACTGGCGCGATCAACAAAGAGATGGCTAGATCAAACTCGCTTTAAAACCGTATTGCGATTTTCTGTTACAGTTTTATCAGCTCCTGGAAGCCAGTCAAGTGGCCAATACGACTCTCACATATCGCCACGTGACTGTGTTTGCGCCGACTAATCGAGCATTCCAGAAATACAATGGAAGCACGAAGAATCTGGTTTTGTATCATATGTGTGAGTATATCGTAATATCTATATTTCATTAATTTCCCTAAAATGAAGACATAGGATATATCATTTAAACGATAGCAATGATACTTTGCAAAAATACAGAAGTGGAGATTTTTTTCTACTAATAATATTAAATATCAAAATTGCAATAAAAACCGCACATTCTGTAATTAAAAAATTGAAGACGTATTAGCAAATTTTATGAAATAATCTGATAAAATGATAAATTTATATGACAAAGAACAAAGCATATGTGTATGTGTGTGCGCATGCGATCAATATTTAAAATCTTCACGCGTCTGCAAAATCTACAAACAATCAAGAAAATTTCGTTGTCTCCTCTATTGTACTATCACGTATTTTCCGGAATAGGCCGCGACGACGCGGGAAAATTCTCGACACGATCGGAAACTCAATTTCCACAGTTTGCGCGAGGCCGTCTCTGCCTCTGCCGCATCTGCATTATTTCCTTTCTTCGTCCGGCTTTCGCGTTGCGCCGCGCCGAAGTGCATTAGCTTCACCGAGCTGAGTTTCGGTATTTCGCGCTTTGATCTCGACCGGAGCCGGCCGAGCGTTTGCATCCGTAATGCATCCGCCGAGTCGGAAGATGCATTCGATATGCGCGCCGGACGTTTACGCGCTTTCGTAATTCAGGGCTTCTTCAATGACTACGAATATAACGGGAAGCAATGGTGATGGTAATGTCCGTTATCGACGTATTCGCGTTTACGACCATTCGACCATCCATTTGGGCATTCATCGATGTGGATCCTAAAAGGGAGGGACGAGGAAAGGGCATTGTTGCGATTGAGCGTAGCTGACTAATATCGCGCGGCGTCAGCGAGCCGACATGTCAGCCGATCCGTCCACGTTAATGCATCCTGTTGCACTTTATTGTACGTCGGGTGGAAATCGAAACGAGATTGCGCGCGAGACAATTGCATTCACGCGAAATTGTTCTCATTCCGAAGATCGGAGAAATAGTCCGCTTTTTAATATTTCGATGCAAAAGTATTTAGCTACCATAAATTTCGAAGTAATCAGACAATAATTTCTTCGACGGTCGGAAAAACACAGAAGAGTACGTAAAAAATCAATAAAATCGTCAGCAGTAAAGACTAATATTTTTAAGACATATATATATTATTTTACGTGTTCCATCTGAATAAAAATGATCTCTCCGAATAGAGAATAAATTTTATCAAATCGTTTTCTCGATCGTGCATCGAAGTCATCGTTAGGTCATCCGGTCACCTAAGAGACGACCTACCGTCTTTGATCAATAATGGACACACGCGGGCAAACAACCTGCTCAATCAAAATCCGTATTATCCTTAGCGGGTTATGGTAAACGCGACGACGAGCCTCGTTAGGCGCACCCTCGTTCGCTTCGCCTCGTCACGTCTCGTCGTCTTCGCGTCCGTCGTTCGTGTGTTTACGATGTCGCGCGCGGTGTGTAATTTCGTCGCGCGATGTTTGCATTGCCACGCGCGCGCGGGGGGACGACATGGAGAAACGCTTACCAGGGATGGTCGCATCGGCGTGGCATGGCGCCATCGATCTCGACGGAGACTCGAAGGCAAACACACGTTAGAACGGCCTCCGCTCCCTTCAGCGCGTGCCCTTCCGTGCTTGCGTTAAACCCGGCGATAAGAAAGGGCCGCGCCTTCGGCCGCACAACCGGCCACACTGGGAAATAATTAATCCGATTTGAACAGCTAAGCCGCGCGCGCGTAACCCTCTCTTGGTGAGCGTCGCACCGGAAAACGAGCGTTTCATGGAGCAAGACAGGGTGGACATTATTATTATGCGAGCTTTGCGGCGAACTTGAATCGAGCGATTCAAGAACGCCCGGAGGACAGCAAGTATCTGGAGAAGCGTAAAAGAAAGGGTTTATTGATAAAAAGAAATTAAGATCTCTATTTTTTATCATATAAAAAGAGAATAATTTGATAAGTAATATTTTACAATTATAAAAATTGTAACTGTATAATCTTTATAATTATGTATTTTATATGCTTTGAGCGTGATGGAAAATTTCTTTCAATTATTTTTAGAAAAAATCGAGCTACACACGTATGTGTGTGGCTAATCTGAGAAAAATTTTTGTCTCTTGAAACTCGTATATTCGCCACAATAAAAGTATCAAAATAAACTTCTCTACAGCTGTCAACGTTACATTCTTGCGTACTTATTCTTTAAGACCGTTTTTCTCCACCGGGAATAATGTCGCGAGTTACCCGGACGAATTACCTCGGAGACCACCGCGGGAAACGTTCGGACTAAATAATCAAAGGTCGTAAGGTCGTCGACTTTTCGTTGACGCGATCAATGTTATTCGGCCCGAGACATTTTTTCCGTAAAACTACGACGACGACGACAACGGGAACGAAGAGAAGGAGCGTCGTCGTCGGTGACGTTCGTCGACGGGCCGCTACTTCTATTCCTCGACTGCTCGTCGAACGCTTCGCCTTGTCTTCTTTTTTTTTGTCTGCTCCAGAGCGACGTATTGGAGAGCAAACAGCTCGAACGAAATTACCGCGTGCAAAAGACTTTTTACGAGACGCGTCTTGTGAAAGAGATTGTCAAGAATTACATTATCCTCCTTCCCTTCACCCCGTCATCCGTCTCACTCCTCCCCCCCCCCTTCCCATCCACCGTGATGCGGGGTAAATAAAAGACGCCGGCTTGATGCCCTCGGGAAAGCAGGAGGATAGTTATGCTCGCGTGATGCTGTTGACTGCATCGATTCGACGCTCAAAGCGTAAGCTGAAAATTATTTACTCGAGGTAATGAATGGGAGATAAGTAACTTTGTAACATTACTCACTTTGACATTTTTGTTACGTATTTTCATAATAACGCGACACTTTACGTAAGAATAATATTTTACTTTAGATCCCTCTTGTCACATTAGATTATGATTCTCTCTCCAACCCACGGATATTTGCGCCCGTAACTTTTTAGGCATTTAAGTTCTCGACGTTTTAAATCTCTGCTTTAATTCCCGTATATTTAGATGTTGCGTATTTTTTTTTCGTCACAACTTGCGGATAATAAACTTTGGCGGAATTATAGCAAATTGCAATTTACCCGACCGTAACTTTGGACAAACGTGCGATTCAGTTTTTTTCGTTAGCGCAAAATCCAAACGGAATGGAAAATTCAAGAAGTCGAAACTACGTCTCCCCTTTATACCTCGAGAGAGTGTCGGGTCCCTTTCTCTCGTCTTTCGCGTGCGCGGGCGCGGTAAGAAAAGACTCTCTTTATCTCGTCAAGTCGGCGCCTATCTCGGCGGCACTTTGCCTCGAGCGGTAACAAGAGGGCTGACCCTACGTTCTCTCTCTCTCTCTCTCACTCTCTCTTTCTATCGCGCGCGAATCCACTGCAATTTTGTACATCGCGAAAAGTTTCACAATTAGTCTTGGAACTTTCATAATTCCGCAGCTTAACCCGCCTTGTTTTGCGGCCGAGCGTTACTGCGGTCGGTTTAATTTATCATTTTACCTCTCGCCCCGACTACCTCGACTTTTCCTCGTCTCGCCCCGAACGTGCTCCTCCGTCCCGTTCATTCTTGTCCCACGCGATTTCTCACTCTCAGTCGAATCTCGAAGGCTAGGCCTTCTTAATGATATCTTAATATCCAATTAACTCGAAAGAAATTTTTTCCGAACGAAAATAATTCACATTTAATTATCAATTGTACAAGTTCTGCAATTCGTTGTTTTATAAATTCGGCTTTTAAATGTTTTCAAATGTCTCGTAGGTTTGGAGTTGTAAACAGAATAAAAATTCATTACTATTTCTAAAGCGACCGAAGAAAGCATTCGAGTTGTATTCGCAATAAAATTTGGATGGAAGAAACTTTTACGAGTGTAGCGACACAGGTGTAGGGATACGACGGCAGAAGCTTACAGTCGAGAACGCCAAGTATTATCCTACTTTAAATACATAGATGGTCGAGTAAAGATTTAAGGAGCGTAGGCCAGCCGCAGTCGCAACTCGCGGTCGCTGTTCATTCCGAAAAGTTAGATTACCGCAAGATAATGCTTTGCAAAACGGCGCACCGGTGTGGCTAAAGTCGCACGGGGTCAACAAAGAACATTTCTACCTATCGCACGTATTTTCGGGAACGATTATATTTGAATTTTTCAAGAGTTCCGATGTATCCCGCAAAGAATCTGATCGTGATAAGAGGCGTAGCAAATTTTAAATCAGTTTCCAGAATATCTTACGATAGGAGACTTTTAAGCCCCTTCTCTCTCTCGTTTCCACGCGCGTTGCAAGCTCGCGTATCGTCGAAATATTCCTGAATGGAATACGAATCCTATTGCGGATTCTCCGTTGGGAACACTCGACGCTCACTGTTAAGAATCTACGGCTACGAACAATCGCGGATATGACAATTCAAAACATTTCGAGCTAGACGAGACGCTCTTTCATCCCGTTCGTGACATGCGACGGTGACAATGGCGGGATATTTCGACTTCCGGTAAATTTAGTCGCGGAAAGTTAAAGACTTCGGTCGCTTCGGGGACGAAGAAGGCGCGGAGGGGGACAAGCAAAGAAGATCCTTTGGAGAGAGGCTTGTGTCGGTCGCTCGATGGGTGACTGCGAGATTGGTGATCAGGAGAGGGGGAGGGCGGATAGGAAAGAGGGGCATGACAAAGGAGAATGGTGCGAACTCTGGCTTCATCGGAAGATGCATTCGATATGCGCGCCGGACGTTTACGCGCTTTCGTAATTCAGGGCTTCTTCAATGACTACGAATATAACGGGAAGCAATGGTGATGGTAATGTCCGTTATCGACGTATTCGCGTTTACGACCATTCGACCATCCATTTGGGCATTCATCGATGTGGATCCTAAAAGGGAGGGACGAGGAAAGGGCATTGTTGCGATTGAGCGTAGCTGACTAATATCGCGCGGCGTCAGCGAGCCGACATGTCAGCCGATCCGTTCACGTTAATGCATCCTGTTGCACTTTATTGTACGTCGGGTGG